CTGCGCATTTTCGAGAAAAAAATTCAGTACGGTCGGAACTTCAAACGTTAATAACTTTTTAACGAAGCCTCCATCAACAAATTAGTATTCTTAATTTTCGTCTTATTTTGGCCTCCAGAATCACCCATTAAAATTTTTCCCAGGGTTGGTCGAACACCCTGCATGAAACTGGAACTAGCATCGACGATACAGGGATGAGGAAAAGGAAAAGAGATTGAACGTGTATTTAGAAATGAACTGGTACTCGAAGTCCGAACTTTGATATAGAAACGAAAGGGTTCTCTACTTAAAGGTTGAATGACGATACGGTATCGATACTGATTTGGACTTTGAATGTCGGTATAGAAAAATGAATACTGACTCGGCTATTGGATATCGATATAGAACTGACCTCGTAATGACTGATCAGTGAAAGTGCATTTGGTTTTAAGGATTTAGTGTAAAACAAGATTTATAGGGCATCGATGACTTCTTGTTTCATGAAGAGAAATTTGGAATTGAAAAATATTTTCTAAAAAAAAAAAAATACACTAATTGGGTGTTTTTTAATTCAAATACAAGCATGTCACAGTATTTGAATATTAATTCCTTATTAGTTCCTTGTCGATACGACGTATTGATTGCGAGGCAGAGATGGATTAAATGGTGTTTGAATAATGGATAAACAATAAGATTAATATACTATAGGAACTCAATCATGATGTTTATTCAATCAATTAATTTTTATCCACTCAGAATATACAGTTTTTATAGTTTTTTATTTCTTATTCGTTATTCGGTAGCTAAGTAAGAAAGTTATTCATGTCTATTATCTTTCTCAAATATATTTGAATTTTAAGTAACTTTTTCATATATATTTGAATTTTAAATATCTTTCTCATATTTATTGAAATTTTACATATCTACTTCAAATATACTTGAATTTAAATATCTCTTTCAAATGTATTTGGATTTGAAATACTTTTTTCAAATATATTTGAATTTTAAGTATCTTTTTCATATGTATTTGAATTTTAAATATTTTTCTCATATTTATTGAAATTTTACATATCTACTTCAAATATCTTTTAAATATCTCTTTCAAATGTATTTGGATTTGAAATATCTTTCTTAAATACATTTATATGTTTGAAAAAGATCGTTCTTCGTAATAGACATGTATAAATATCTCATCTACACACAAATTTCACAAATACCAAATAAAAAATAAAAAGCTGTTCACTCACAACCTTGAAAATAAGTGCAAAGCGTGCCCAGAGTCGCTGGAGAATAGAAAATTGATTTATTTAGAATTTCAATGGGCACTTCCACGTTATAACAAGTTAAGAACCAAATCTACAGATACGTGGCAATATTCATGAAGCGGTTAGCGTAACTTGGCGCGGTTTAGAGACACGCGTAACCGCTCGCGAATTACCCAAGACGATAGAAATTAGTTAAACGCGAGATTCTTGGGATTCCAGACCCGGGAAGAAGCCACGAAACGATCCAAACATTCCCGTAAAGGGTCGGTTCCCGTTCGCTCGTCAGGGAAGACGGACGGGTTAAACGAACGACGTCGCTCAATACTGACCCGACGAAACTGGGAATCGCTGATGGCGAATAAATAGCATCGGCATTGTTCAATTTGCTCGTGACGTTAGCCTCTCGTTAGTTGGCGTGGAATTTCAATCGATCTGGGGCGAATTTTGTACGTTGAACGGGCAAAGTGTGCCACCGTTAATACAGAGAAAACAAACAAAAATGTGTACACCGTGAACAACCATAGTTCGTTAATAAACGCTCTCACCAAACATTTGCGATCCATAAGTTTGCAATCGCTGGGAAAAAAAAAATTCAAGAACCAAATTACACTTTTTCGAAGCAACTGAAAAAATTTCATGAGCAACATATTTCTTTTTTTAACTAAGGAAAAGGTATTCTCTTAAAATTGTTCTTTCAGTAAAGAATCTTTCCATAAGGTTTCTAAAAAATGTGGAAATTTGAATTATTGTTAGTATTAGGCGGTTTCTTGATTTTCTATAATACTATTATTTATAAAAAGCCTCATAATATTAGTGTTTGTGGAAAGTTTTTACTGTCTAATTTCTCATCTGATTTCTCATTTTTCATTTATTTCGATATTGCATAGTATTTATTTATTATATAGATAGAAACTCATTAACACTAGAACTACCATAAAGCAGTCAAAATGACCCATTCATAATTTTCAATAAAATTTGTAAAAAATTTACTCGACCGAATTTTTGAAAATTTACCACAATTTTCTACAAAAGAATGAATAAACAGTTATTTCCATTGCATTACACATTTCTTCGCGTATCTATCGTTTTAATCTCTTTGGTACAAATAAATACACTATAATTGTCGGTAGTTCTAGTGTTAATGTGCAAAAGAAAATATAATAGCTTTATAGTCGAGCTGGAGAACAGTGCTTATAGATAAATAATATACAGAACTGATGGAATTAATATCGAGATTTGTTATTCAATTATAAATTGCAAATCTGATTTTCGAACAAGGAAATTTTAATTCTCGTAAAATTGCTAAAATTCACAAGTCTGAATTAAAGTTACATTTTTTAGTAAATATCATCTCTCATCTTCGAGTAAACTTTCATATAAAGAATAAAAACCAACGACACCAAAAATGAATGCCTACCAATTCGCTAATATCGAAACAAAAGTGTTTACCATCAATGTCACGCGTTTTGGATCGTTTGCAACGCCAAGCAAGACGTTTTAAAAGCCCTCTATTTATTTGCCCAGGCTTTCGGAATATTCCCAGGGTAAGGTCCTCCGAAAAAGGCTGAATTTCACGGGCGAAAAGTTTAGGGTTGTTCCGGAAGAACAAAGAAGCGTTCTTTCGTTTCAAATTCCGCCCCTTCGCCGGCGAAACTTTGCCAGTTTAATAAAGAGTAACGTATGCGGAGGTTAACAGGGCTGGAATTGGGCAAACGGCACGGCCAAAGGTATTTCCTTCGAGATTAAAAATTTTCGGAGCCCCGTTAGGGGGCGAGTTTTTCTCGCTACCTTTCTCCCCCCGTCTCGACGATATTAAGAACGTTCATGACGATGCTTTCGCGCAGACGGAGAGAAATCCTTGCGTTCTCGTCGCTTTTCTTTCCCGTTCTCATTGCAAAGCGTCCGGCATAAACATTTTCCCCTTTCACACTCTAGTTAGAGCGTTTCGCCTCGCTTTTATCCGCTCTCGGAGCAACGCGTGAAATGGTTTAATACAATATGTAATCGACGACTGGACTTTGCGCGAAACAACGTTCCGAGATTCTAATTCCTCCACTCGTACGTTTCCCACTGTTTTTCATTTGAAAAATTCACGAGCATCCTCGAGAGACGAACAAAAGTACAGAGCGAGACTCTCGTATCAAAAAGCGTCCTTGATTTTTATCCCATAAGGGTGAAATAGTCTTTACGTTTCGATCTAAATTCAAATTTATTTCAATTAAAATGGTTTCAGATATCAAGGCCATAAACTGTATTTAATTTAGAGAAATTGAATAAGGTTATTCGGTATTAAAAATAGAATAGTTTGAGCTAACAATAACTGCAATAAATTTTGCAAGGTTTATTCTATATTTTAACAAAAATAGTCCAAGGTGTCAGGGTCCTAAATTTTGTTTGAAAAGTATCGCTGTTTTTTCGAAAAAAATTTGCAAAGATTTTCATTTTTTTTAAGGGTGAAACAGAGTTTATGTGTCGAACTAAATTTATACAGAATAAGACGAAAATCAAGAATACCAATTTGTTGATGGAGGCTTCGTTAAAAAGTTATTAACAATTATATTTAAAAATTTCAAATCGTTTTGGAAAAATAATTTTCGGTTGCAAGGGTCAATTACAATCATTTTTTACCATTACACATACCCCCGAAATCCTACGCACTTTCGAGAAAAAAATTCGAGAAGGTGTGAATTTTTTCGACAAAATTAAAACATTTCAAATCGTTCTGGAAAAATTATGTTTAGTTACAGGGGTCAATTACAAGCATTTTTGGTCAATAGCCATACCCCCGAAATCCTGCGCATTTTCGAGAAAAAAATTCCTTACCGAAAATATTATTTCTGACCATACATTGACATGTTTCCCTGAAATTTCATGCGAATCTTTAAAATGTCATAACTCCTGAACGGATTGGGCGATTTTAATGTTTAAAAATGCAAACAACGCGTATTTTAGTGTCGAATATGTAGAAACTTTAAAAATATTCGAAAAGATGTTCCTTGACCCCGTAAAGTTAGAAAAACTCCATAAAAATGGTTCATTTTTCAAACAGCCATAACTCTCACAATAGTGAATATATTTCAATGAAACTTTTTTTTTATGTAAAACTCATGGGTACCTACAAAAAAGTATTAGGCAATTTTTCTCTAAGGCGTCAAATAAAATTACTAAAAATGAAAAACTAATTTCTAAGAAAGATCGACAGGGGGTAGTAGGTGTCTAAACTTTTCAATGCAAAAAAAAATATCAAATCGTTCTAAAAAATTATTTGCAGCTAGGGGGATCAATTACAATAATTTTCGGTGAATAGATATATCCCCGAATTCCTACCCACTTTCGAGAAAAAAATTCGAGAAGGTATGAAATTTTTCGACAAAATAAAAAAATTTCAAATCGTTCTGGAAAAATTAATTTGGTTGAGGGGGTCAATTACAATAATTTTTGGTGAATAGACATACCCCCATAATCTTGTGCATTTTTGAGAGAAAAATTCAGTACGGTCGGAACTTTAAACGTTAATAACTTTTTCACGAAGCCTCCATCAACAAATTGGTATTCTTGATTTTCGTCTTATTTTGGCCTCCAGAATCCCGCCATTAAAAATTTTCCCAGGGTTAGCCAAACACCCTGTATACAAATAAATACACTATAATTTTCGTTAGTTTCGATGTTAATATTTTCAAACATTTAAATACAGTTCCCACGAACGATTTGCAGCAATATGGAGTGTGACTGACCAGACTTTTCTCGCCTGTGATTGCAGATTTTCGAGCGTGAAAAATCAGCTTGCATGGACCTCGACTGACCGGTCTTAATGCAAGGATTGCGAGCGTCTAGCACAGCCGGAGAGGGTGAGTATATTATTCATCGATTTATCGATTTTTCCCCCGTACAGTGTAGTCGACGGAAGAATCGACTCGGGAGTTCTCTCGTCGATTGCTCTGTCGAGAGGAATTCCTCTCTTTGTAACCGTCTTAACCCGATGGCTTTGATGCTCACAGCGAGGGCAGCGTTCAATGGAATTAATAATAGAATCGAGCGTATCATAGTTTCCGCGAGTACTATTTCGACGAACCCTGGATACCGAAATCATTGGTATTCGCCAATTGTAGTAACAATGGATATTATTGACGCTCTCCTGGCCATCGGTGAACCCTCGACGCTCTGATCCATTCAAAGAAGATTGATCACTATCAACGATCACCAGGTACAACGAATGAGAATAAATAATACCTGGTCTATCTGGACTTTCGTAAATTATTAGGTCGTACCATAAGTTCGTGACTGTCGATATTCAACAATTCACGAGGATAACATTCGTAATTTAATAGAAAAGAAACAAAATTTGTCAGTTCAAGGGATTTCTAGAAACACCAACAATTCATAGAAATTTGAAAGAAATAGATATTGTGTCAAAGCTCGAAGTTTAAAATCCATACTGGTTTACTGGAACGAAATTTTCTTAATCGTGCTCGAGTCTCATTGAGCCACAAAATAAAACTGAACCTTATAAGAAATGAAATACAAAATCTCCAGGTTTATCAGTGGGTGAACAATTTGAAAATGTCAACGTTTTCATGAATAGTGTTGAATTACATTTTAGTAAGAAATCAAACAGGTTTCATAGCAACCATTAAATTTGCTAAAGGAAGGGGAGAGAGTTGTCTCTTGAAGAGGTTTACTGTTTTTCATTAAATTACATTATATGTTTAAAACATTGCTTCAAGTTGTCGTATAAAACTTGTCACGAATATGTGGGACGACCTAATATTTCAATTAAAATTGTGTATCGTGATAGAATGAAAGAATTAATCTGCCTTGGAAGGATATACAGCTCGTGTTAGGTCAGACGTTTCAGCATAGACTCACGAATTTGTTTACATGTTGAGGGGAGGATCTGTTCTTCAATTTTTCTTGTCACAAAGGTGCAACTTGGATCTGTTTAACCCCTCAACGCTCATATTTTTCGAATTAATGATCAGTTCTCTTCATTGGATTTGTTTCTAAGCTATATTAAAATACGATTTTTGTTAGTTACAATGTTGTATCTAACGTATAATTTGAAGGGAAGCAAATATTGTCATCCCTTAACACATTGACTGCCAGAATAACACCTTCAAATTGTCTATGAAAACGATACTCTTTTTTTGGACATTTGGAAACTAGCATATCCAGAATTTGTCGTAGAACTTATTTTTACAGTCTCTTTAAACTTTAAGTATCCTGTCAAGATTTATTTCCTTTAAGATCTAATCTTGAGAAATAATTGTTTCCACTCATCAGTGTAAACTCATGTCACCCATATATGGTTAGATTAAACAAATATCGTTTTTCAAAGCAGACAGACTCGGGCATGAACGTTGAGGGGTTAACTTTAATCAATTTTTTAGTCCAAGATTGTACTATGAAATATTAAGTCAGAAATTATGAGGTCGTATCGAGTCTAAATTCAGACTAAACTTAAAAATGGGTCGAATAAGGTCGTGTTTGGGGAAGCAGTGAAATGTGTGAAATGTTTTATTTTCATTGGTGGATGAATGAAACGCCCCATTGTTCGATGTAAACATTTAAAACGTTCGTCAGAATTTGAAAATCAATTTTGAAACAATCATCCGCTTGGTATTCATCAGGCAATTGGAAGATCCAAATGCACGTACGCTTCGATGCGTCAGTTAATCAGTCAGATTAGCAATCGAAGCATCTAGGCTTCATACAGCAAACAGCAAGTCAGAAGCAATCGGGTCTCTATTAATCATTATGGTCTGTTGACGTTCGTGGCGGTCGGTTATCAGTTAGGTTGTCAGGAACCGATCGGTTATACAGTTATGCTACACGTGGTAAAAAGTGGTTTAGAACTTAGATCTTCGTTAAATCGTATAAAAAATCGACCTAAGTCGAAAAATTAGTCTACTTGGAAGTGATTCTGTTGGGGTTTTGTAATGAGCTGACAAATTCGATATAACTGTTCAATATAAACGTATATTTAGAAGTAAATTAAACACGTGTGCATACAAAGGCGATACGTACTCTCAGGGAGACATATTTGGACTGAACAACAAAAGAAAAACAAAACAATATGTTCGTATAGATAACGGCCATCATCGATTCTCTAACAGATTCTTTCCAGTAATTGTTATCAGAATTGCTGAGAATTTAGAGATCAGAAAGATTAGTTCCTTGGTTTGCCAATCAATGGATTATAATCCATCAATTTGTTACGTTCAAATTGTACAGTGTAATTTTAATTCGTCCTCGAGATCAGACAAAATATAAAAACAATTTTATTTATCAAGAATTTAAAGAATTAAATAAATTCTTCAGTTTACAATAACTGATCTACTCGTCTATGATCACGATCCATATCGTTTTTATATTCTATTTTAATTAATATGCATATGTAATTTAATTTTAATTTCTTCTCGTGACCAGACAAAATATAACAAATTTTATAAATATTACGAAGAATCTAGAGAACGAAAATAGAATTATTTTCTTGGTTTACAATAACTGATCTACTCATCCATGATCATAATCCAGGTCACTTTAGTATTTCACTTTAATTGATATACGTGAGCAATTTAATTTTAACACTAGAACTACCAACGATCACGAAGCATTTATTTGCATCAAAGAAATTAAAACAAAAAATAAATTAAATATAAAAGAAATAAATATTTATTCGTTCTCTTTATAGAAAATAGCGATTTTGCAAAAATTCAGTCGAGTAAATGTGTAACAATTTTTATTAGAAATTATAAATGGGTCATTTTGACCATTTTGGTACTTCCAGTGTTAATTTGTCCCCGTGACCAGACAAAGTATAACAAATTTTATTTTCATCGTGAATTTGGAAAACGGAAAAAATTCCTCTTTGGTTTATAGTAACTGATCTACCCATTTGTGGCCATGATCCACGTAATTTTAATATTTCATTTTAATTAGAATTCGCAATCTAGCGGTGATCGACGAATAGATAGGGTGTCGCGTGTTTGCGGAAAAATGAGCGACGAGAATTGGGTCATTATTTCCGACCAGTGGCCGATGTTTGGCAATGCTAGTCGCGGAATTTTCGTCGATGGAAACGTGACATTCAGATCGTGGCTCGCATCCAGGCCAATCACGCCTCGCAGAAGAATTAGCTGGTTTCAAGAACGACCGCATGACCCCTCTTCTCTTGTCTGCCTGCTTCCTTCTTTATTTCTTTTTTTCGTTTCCTGTTTTCTGCAATCCAAGATGAATTCCCGAAAGGCGGACGAAACGAGCCCGGCTTTTCCACGAAATATTCGTTGGCAACGAGCTCCGGTCGAATTGGGACGACTCGGCCTGGTGATAATGACCCCTGCGAATTGTCTTGCTTTCGTTTCTTTCCCCTTGGCCCTACAGTCTTCGACAAAACGATATCACGTACTAGAATATCGACAATACATTACGTATAATTACCCCAGAATATTTTATTCGATCTCGATTATTTGATTCTTTTTTTTTATATACATACTCCTGGGAAAAATTTTAATGCGGAATTCTAGAGGTAAAAATAAGACGAAAATCAAGAATACCTATTTTCGGTTAAGGGGGTCAATTACAATCATTTTTGGTCATTACACATACTCCCGAAATCCTATCCATTTTTTAGAAAAAAATTCGAGAAGGTGTGAAATTTTTCGATGGTAAAAAAAATTTCAAATCGTTTTGGAAAAATTATTTTCGGTTGCGGGGGTTAATTACAATAATTTTTGGTCATTACACATACTCCCGAAATCGTACCCATTTTCTATAAAAAAAATTCGAGAAGGTGTGAAATTTATCGACAAAATTAAAAATTTCAAATCGTTTTGGAAAAATTATTTTCGGCTACGGGTCTCAATTACTATCATTTTTGGTGAATAGACTTACCCTCGAAATCTTGCGCATTTTCGAGAAAAAAAATTCATTACAGGCGGAACTTTAAACGTTAATAACTTTTAACGAAGCCTCCATCAACAAATTGGTATTCTTGATTTTCGTCTTATTTTAGCCTCCAAAATCTCCCATTAATCTCCCTGTATAGCATTGATTAGATAAATTCTACATAAAATTGCAGTATTTAATATTTTTATAAATAAATACGAGACAAATATATTTATCGTATTGTAACGAATAGTTATCATGAGTGATGACAGATTTCACAGGTTTTCTTGCTGTTCGAGACATAGATGTCTACCATTCGTTGCGTCGATCGTAATTTTCTCACGTGGAGATCATGCCGCGCTCCGAGAGCCAACGTTGCGTAATGAATTTATAAAATTAGACAGCCGAGTACGTTGGAAATGCGTCGCGGGTTGAAATGCAGGGAAACGAAGATAAACTGACCACGATCCATTCATTAGGAAACAGGAACAAACGAGTTGCCTGCATGCACAATTCGTTTCCGTAAAGGAATACATCATTGTAGATAGTTTTCCTACACCAGAATCCAATTAAGCCGTATAATGCAAAAATAATATAAAAGCAAATTAAACCCATGCTTAATCTATTTACTCTTTCGCGTTGCAACGCGCATAAATTATTCCCGTTATTTTTTAATAGGAACGCATTCAAAGAAAAAAATTACAAAAGATCTCTCTTGTAAATCCAAACTACAATTCTGACAAATAAATTTCAGTTCTAAAAACAATCGTTCGTAAAATTTACAAACTGAAAAACATTCGAAATAGATCGAAGGCTCGGACAATTTTCTAACGATATTTCGAAATATAATAAAAAGGGAAAATAAGGTTAAAGACCACTGATCTGGAAAATATATATAAACTCGTGAAAATTGTTCATTACAATTTGTTAGGATTATTGGTTTAAATTAAGTAAAACAACCTTT